GCAGCTTTGCAGTTAGCTCAAATCTATCAAGCTCACGACGACAAATACAAATGTCAAGATGTCATTGACAAGTTTCTCGCATTTGCCAAAAATGAAGGATCCCGCTGGCAACACAGGAAGTCCTTGGAAGTTATTCTACCTGATAGCCCAATCTATCAATATCTGGAAGGTCGCGTTCATCATCCTTCACATACCTATCAAATCATAGCCCAGATTACCGAATTCGAAGAGAAAGAGCGTATCAACAAGGAAATAGGAGAGCGACGAACAAGACTAGGTGCCAAAATTAGTCAAGTAACAGTCGAAGTAAAACGAGAAGTCTTGAAAGATAGTGATTTGGAAGAAATTTACGATAAAATCATAGACTGGACCACCGACGATGAGATTCGCCGTCAATATGAAGAGAAACTCATTAAAAGATGTCTAGACACTCTGGTAGTTCTCCCGCCTGGAGACTCAAAGACAGAAAAACGATCAAAAGTATTCAAGCTGGCTACAGATATGGTTTTAATTAAGCATCCGTACAAGCTGGCCTGGGATATTGCTATTGAGTGGCAAGATCCCGAACATGTTCAAGGCTTGGATGTCAACAATTTGCGCGAATACATAGATTTCTTTCCTACGAGTGGTCTTGCTCAGGTTCTTCGAGGATTCATGTCAAGTGAGATTTCGCCATTCCCGCCACCGCCACGAACTCCGGCTCCCACGAATAACGAGAAAAGTGATGAAAGTAGTTCAGATGAAGACGACGGAGGAGGAGTGACGTTGGATGATTACGCAATGCTTGCAGAAGATCGCCTGGCAATGATGATAGAAGGCATGACGGATTCTCCCACATCAATACTGGCACATCGTCTCATGGGAGAGTATTATCAATTTTTAGATGAGCACGAAAGCGTAGTGGAACTTATGCGGAACGCAAATCGGCTTGCGTTAGAAGAATCCAACAAAATTGGCAAAAAGTTTAAAAATGCATCCCAATCTTTCAAGGCCTTGTTGGGTACTGCTCTCGTATTTTATCAATCGCCAAAGAATCATCCGGAAGCCAAAGCTTTATTCGATGGACTGTTGAAAGAAAATCCAACCTCAACTCCTGCTCTCATAGGAATTGGTTTGATTTATGAAGAAGAAGACGACTTTGTTGCCGCTATTGATTTCCTTGAACGTGCTTTACAACGAGATCCTACGAATATTCGAGTTAAAACTGAAGCCGCATGGGTCAAGGCTATTAATGGCGATTATCTTCGTGGACGTGATGAGTTAGAAGAGTGCTTACCTCAAATCGAAGCCAAAGATATGAAGTCTCGAGACTTGCTGGCCCAGACACAATATCGTGTCGGTGTTTGCTTATGGAACATAGATACTTCGAAATCCGCACGCAAAGACAGAAAGGGTGCATATTCATATTTCTTAGCATCACTGAAAAGTAACCTCAATTTTGCTCCGGCATATACCAGTCTAGGCATATTCTACGCAGACTATTCGAATGACAAAAAGAGATCTCGAAAGTGTTTTCAGAAAGCCTTTGAGCTTTCATCCTCGGAAGTGGAAGCTGCTGAGCGCTTGGCTAGGATATTCGCAGGCCAGGGCGAGTGGGAGCTGGTCGAATCAGTTGCTCAACGAGTTGTCAATTCAGGAAAGGTCAGACCAGCACCTGGCTCGAAGAAAAAGGGCATCAGTTGGCCATTTGCTGCTCTCGGAACTGCCGAGTTGAATAAACAAGACTACTCCAAGAGCATTGTTTCTTTCCAATCCGCACTGCGCATTACACCTTCTGATTATCATTCATGGGTCGGCCTAGGCGAGAGTTATCACAATTCTGGACGTTACATTGCTGCAACAAAAGCTTTCCACCACGCGGAACAATTCGAGAGTGAAATTGAACAAAGACAGGATGGTGAGACTTGGTTTGCAAAGCATATGCTCGCCAATGTAAAGCGTGAGCTAGGAAATTTCGATGATGCCATAGAGGGCTATAAATCTGTGCTTCAGAATCGTCCCGCAGAATTTGGTGTTTCCATTGCTCTGATCCAGACTTTAGTTGATAGTGCCTGGGATAGTGTTGAGAAAGGTCTATTTGGACAAGCAGCTCAACGTGCGACCGAGGCTATTGAAGTTGCTAGTCTAGTTTTCCAGAGCAGAGCTGATGCTTTCAACCTCTGGCGAGCTGTAGGCGATGCTTGTGCTGTTTACTCTTGGGTTTGGAGTCGCATTAACGAGTTCCCAGATGCGAATATCAAAAAATTGTTTGAAGAATGGGCAACTACTTATGATGTTTTCGCAGACATTGATGGAGTATCTATTGATGTCGTATTAGCAAAGGGACTATTTCCTGCCGACGAGGAGGATGGAGTGCGCCGAACTCGATGCCTTCATGCAGCGATTTTAGCTCACAAGCGAGCAATACATGCCTCATCTCACGATACACACGCCCAGGCGGTCGCTTATTACAACCTCGGTTGGATTGAGCATCGTGCTCATGTCTGTTTGGCACCTAGTTTGAAAAAGAAATCTACCAGATATCAGAAAGCCGCAGTGCGATGTTTCAAAAGAGCTATCGAATTAGAAGCAGGCAACTCAGAGTTCTGGAACGCGTTGGGTATAGTCACCAGTGATCTAAACCCAAAGGTTGCACAGCATTCTTTTGTTCGAAGTCTCTACTTGAATGAGAGAAGTGCTCAGACATGGACTAATTTAGGATCATTATATTTACAACAGAATGATCACCAGCTTGCCAATGATGCCTTTACAAGAGCTCAATCTACTGATCCGGATTACTCGCATGCTTGGATAGGACAGGGACTTCTTGCTCTCATGTTGGGCGATGTGAAAGAAGCCAATCTCCTTTTTACTCATGCTATGGAGATCTCTGGATCATCTTCTTTAATCACGCATCGGCAATACTCACAGTCAGCTTTTGATCAAGTTCTGGCTGCGAAGAATGTCACCAATGTAGCAGACTTGGTTCAGCCTTTATTTGCACTGAACCAAGTGCAATCGATGGCTCCTCATGATCTTGTCTCAAAGCATCTCTCATCACTTTTTTCTGAGCGTGCACACGATATTTCTTCAGCTGTAACAACCTTGACCACAATCTGTGGAGCAGCTGAAGCCGATTATGAAGTCACAGAATCACCAGAATCATTATCTCGATTTGCTTTGGCCAAAGCAGATCTCGCTCGATCTCAATTGGCAAATCAACAGTATGAAGAAGCTGTAGAAAGTGGAGACCTCGCTTTACAACTCTGTGATGAAGATAGTGGCAATGAGCTTTCTGCAGAAGATCGTCAGAAATGTAGACTATCGGCTCATCTCACTGTCGGCCTAGCCCATTACTACCTGAAAAATCTCGATACAGCTCTTGAATATTTTGAGCCCGCTCTCAAAGAATCCAAAGGAAATCCTGATGCAGTATGCGTCCTTGCTCAAGTTTTATGGGCTCATGGCACCGAATCATCCCGCTCCAAAGCACAAGATATTCTCTATGAATGTGTGGAGTCTCGTCCCAATCACGTACAATCAGTGTTACTTCTCGGAATTATAGCTCTTTTCAATTCAGATACCGAAGGCATCGAAGCAGTAACTGCGGAATTACAAACTCTCCGCACTAATAGACTTATCACGGGTGCAGAACAAGCACGTGTTGGCGAAGTTCTTCGTTCCATTGCTGCATTTGCTGAAGAGGATTCGCAGATTCAAGTAATGAGTGAGGTCCAGAAAGATGTGATTCTTTATCCAGGTTCGACGCATGGTTGGTCAAGATTAGCAAATACAACTGGCGATGCAAAGGCGGCTGAGATGGCAGTACTGACGGCGAAGAAATCCGTCCCTCCACGTGGAGTCTTGGGTGCTGATGATTTATCAACTGCGTATGCCGGCACTGGGAAGGTCGGAGACGCTCAGAGGGGTATTATGATCGCACCGTGGAAGAAGGATGCGTGGGATGCTTTCAGTAATGGTATCTCTGCATAGTCCGCTATGTCTCAAATTGAAAATATCATGATTAATGCCCAATTCAACGTCATCGCGTGGACGCAAAAAAACTATCTTTCTATGCATGGCATACTATCTCATGTATCAAATACGGTGTTCTCGAAGGCGCATCACGAATAGAAACCATTGCTTACGTCTAAACTTGAATATATGAACTCGTTAGCGCAGAAATGCTGTGTATTTGGTAACGAGTAGTGCCTTGCAATTAATTCACTTTTAGACCTCGCGGATAGAGACTACGATTTCCTCATGATCACCCCATGTCTCGATCTTTTCTGATCAATGGTCTTTGCTCTCCTCTTTATCTTTAAACCTTCCATCGATATTGATACCATCTACCAAATCTCTTCCCAATCTTAATAACTGCAGTATGTCAAAAAATTCGTAGCACCGAAACCAGTCTAGAAGATCTATTGATTTAGATCTAGAAGATATAGATGAGATCACGCAAAATCTCTGATATCAATTGGCTGAATGCTAGTCTCTGGCCTCAATCGTAGGAGTTGTATAAACATAAATCGATTTGGATTTTTGGAAATCGCTCGGGATCTGATATGTAACATTATGTGGAGTCTAGCAATTACTAAAATGATACAATTTTCATCTTTAATTTCGAGGGCAAATCTTTGTTGTTAATTCAAACATTGGAGCGAGAGATCAGTGCTCTGAATCTGAGATCAGAAAGAGAAAGTAATACATCTTACAAATTACCTCAGAGATTGCAAACTTTTATTTGAGTTGTAGAGAAATAGTTGGTTGCCAACTTACAGAGGTACTACTCTCAATAATACCTGCCATGTTTCGTGATGAGACAAAACCTCTCGAAGTTCAGTCTGTTCAGATATGTCACGGCAATTCATAGATCCTGATCTGAAATCTTGAAATGAGTTTCTTAAACTACTCAATTGTTCCTAGTTAGAATTCTGACTCTAGGATATTCCATGCCTAAGCCTCTTGAAGAATCTAGAGTACAGCTAGTATCCCTCATACTTGAAATGAGAACACCCTCATGAAACCTCCCTCAATCTAGGTCTGTAGATAAAATACGCAGCAGCACCCACGATCACCGAGCTCATTATCACAAGCATGGCCATTAACCACGGAAGTGACATCGGAATAAGGTGAACAGAATCTTGATCACCATTCGCAATCGTAGAATTACCCGTTCCATTCCCATGTGCTGCGGCGTAAGCGGTAGCCCATGCTTTGTAGTTATCTGTTGTGATGGTAGTCAACGCACTATCCCCATCCACAGTCGCGATAGTGGTAGTTCCGAAGACGCTCTCGAGATCGGCTTCTAGCACGACGGTGTATTTAGACATTTGTATAGAATTGTAGGAGCTGTAGTGGTTATTGGCAGATTCCCAGGAGACTGGCAGTGCAGAATATGATGGGTCTGGAAGACCATTTGAGGGCGTCGAGGTGGGAGCATCGGCTGGTCCAGAGGTATTTGGTGTTGGAAGAGGTGGCTCTCGATTGTATACGAAGACTGCAGCTGTGAGGCTTGTGGTAGGCGAGAAGATCAGATCTTGTGTGGTGGGTCCAGGCTCAGTGTGCGAGGTTGTTTCGAGAGATGAGAGAGTTGCAGGTGGCTTTGTGTCCCCAAGGATTAGTAAACAATATTCACAGATTACTTCATTGTCAGAGATGAAGACGGTGGGAGTGGAAAGATAATGTTGGAAGTCCGTATTGTTGGTAGGTCTGTGAACTATTAGTTTGTGGGATCATTTAATGAGTAAGTACTACCTCCCACAGTGCAGGTGAACACATAGATTGAGAGAAATAGTTAAGAACATACTTAAAACACCAATCACTTCTAGTAGTGTCGGCTTGTATAGTGACTTGGTCCCATTGAACTGGCCCAAAGTCCCACTTACTTCCTCCTTGTGTTTCGATAGCGAAAAGTGCCTAAAGAAAGTTAGTCTATGTCTGAAGGTCATAAAGGAGTATCAAAACCAGCTGCTTACCTTATTAAACGGGCTTTGGCCACCAGGGGTCGCTGTTAATCATCCTCGTTAGCATGTTCTACTTCTGGTTCGTCGGATTTTGATAGCAAATGAGAGTGTTCTCTGTGACTTACGATGCTCTAAAGGATAGAAGAAAGATTCTGCAGTAAAGGATATCTCGCCAGCTTGAGTGCCGGAGTGACCCCTCTCAACCTTCCATGTAACATTATACACTCCAGTATTTGCATTTATTAATTGGTACTTTGTAATAATACAATCTCCTGGATATACTGTATATCTATCAGCTCGACTGTCTGCTTAGATTGGCACAAATTTTGAACGTACCTTGCTGAGCTTTATCAGCTTGCCAGTCTTCAGGTCTGCATGTTTTCTGAGAATCAGTGTTGTCACTTCAAATATTTCACAATGATCTCGGTTGATCTTAAGTCGAATTGTGTGTAAAAAGATAGAACGAATACATACGTGCAACAGAACTCTAATCCAATATAAAACCACTCTCCGATGCTTCCTTGGTTTGCGACCACAGTTTGCATAATGCCTTGATTGTTTTGAAGTGCAGGCCATATAGCTTGAACGTTGCCTGGGATGACTAGTGCGTTGGAGGAGGAGGGAACCACTTGAACACTTTGAAACTTCGACGAGTCAGCTTGCTACCAAAAAAGTAGGTTAGCAGAGTAGAAGTGACCATCTTACCATTGTGATTGTTGCATTTGGATCCAGAGTAAGATAATAGAAATTTGCATTAATGTCAGCTGAAGCTGTAGAAGCTGCAAGTCCACTCAAGAGACCCCAGACCAATATGAAAATTAACATTATCACAGGCTGAAATTGAGCCAATGATTCTCGAAAGACAATAAGCATGATAAAAGGTTCAGTTAAACAAAGCTTAAAGAAGCAATTTCGTGGTTATTGGGGTTTATTGGAGAATGAATAGTGTGTATTGAACTTGATGAAAATCCAGAAGGAAATGACAAAATAATTGCAAGAATGACAGTAGAAAGTTTGATACAATGTAGATATGAATATCAAAGAGAAAGCTGAGACGTGTGAAATATATGAGTAGGTATTTTGTCATGACTGAATAACTGCCAGGTAAACACCGGAGAAAGATAGTTCCGAAGTGTCCAGACGAAGTTATTCACTACTCGAGCAATGATGTTTGACAGATGTGACTTTCTTTATGAACATTTCACACTAAGCACAAACCACAGCGTTCTAGGAGTAAACCAAGAATTGAATCTCTTCCTTATGAAAATCATGGTTTTTCAAACATGGCTGGCTGGGCCCTTGGATTTTTCGCTCATGATGAGCTACAGAAACTGCAAATCCTTCTTTATAAAGGAGAAATGCACAGTCTGGTGGTATTTGCCACAAATGTGAGCTTTCGAATAGTTGTTGCTGGAGAGGACAGTATGTATTTATACTCTTATGGTGGAATTTTGCAACGGGTTTAAGGCCGTAGGATGAGAACACAGAGATCTTCACTCTGCTGCAATGCAAAACATAGGGCTCAATTTTGTCTTGGCAAGATGAAAAGAACTTTTCCTGATACCATCAAATAACAAAAGCTTTTCTAAAAGAGCGATCGTGACGAGGTGGAAGAACCAGAACACACCACTTTGACTCCTCTTAAGAAAAAGTTTGCATGGACACTAATCATGATAGTCTTGTAGCATTTCTCACTTATTTTAGCCTGGAAACTCGTCATTATATCATAGCGTCACTCAACACATAATGTTTGTGATACTGAGAATGAAAATTTTGCTTCAACAATTTCAGGGCCAAGAGGATATACTCAAAACATACTTGAGCAGGTTGAATTCCTTCCCGACCAAGTGCAACATGACAACGAAAGCTTCACACACTTGAAGGAGCTATGCATGGCAAGCGCTTATGCATCGGCAACGAGGTACTTCGAGCTAGATATTGTGTCAAATTCGTGAATTCCTGTTTCGAACTTGCATACCTCCAAGTATGAAAAAGGATACACAGCTTACGATAACCTTCACAGGATTTGATGCCTCTTGAAACTAGTTACTAGTAAACTACCTATTAGAATTCCTTTCTTGCGGCTATCCTCCGCAATGTAACATCTAGAGTGCAGTCGAGTTGAGGTGGGTTTAAGGTTCATCGGCGTCGGTTATCTCGCTTCCAGGTTCGGCCTGACGTTACAGCTTGCTCTTGCCGAATGCAACAGCATACCGACATGCAGATTGATACCTATCGACTTCAATTTAGGTATTATCTCGTCAATATTTCCATAAAATTTTGGACTTGTCACTAAATTATATTTCTTTTATATCGTCTACCTCAAGAATATTACTTCATCTGATGTCACACTTTTGAGATCTTCTTAGATGACAACTGCTCGGCTTTTACAATGAGATCGAGGAATCAAAAGGTGATCCGCATAGCTTCATCACCAGACCCTACAAAGTTACTTTTATTCTCGCCTCCCTAAACATATAAGATATCGCGTTTGAAATACACTCTCGTCTTATTGATTGCCAAACACTTCTCACAGATTTATTGCTGGATGGGATTTCGAAAATTACAAACAACTATTCATAGTTGGAACAAGTACCTCCTCCATGACTTACCAAGGTGAGGTGTAAACATATTCGTGCTCTACTCATATCCATGTTTTTATTGTGCTCGTTTAAATTGACAGATTGACCGACCGCCTTTACCCTGGCGTATTTAATTCAAGAATGCTAAAGGTCTCGGTATACCCCACATATCGCTCGGTAAAAATCTCCACGCGCCTTGATGTGCACGACAATACCAATAATGGACAAGATATCTTGCAAACCCCGGTACTGCTGGAAATACGTATTTTCCATTCTCAAACGTGCTATCTGACAGACCCAGGATCAGTGGCAAGGCTATATCCTGTCTTTGCTTAGTCTTGTACACGAAAGATCATATTGCGGGGTAATACCAACATTTGGTTGATTGAAGCCTGCAGCCTCGCATTCTTTGAATATCTTCATAATACCCTCGCTCTCGTAGGGCTGCAGTGCTAAAAGTGTGGGAATTTCTGCTTTTAGATGATTCCGTAGGGCATCCGCAAATCCATCAATCAACGAGCGTACCTTCGTGGCGCTGAATGCGGAAGGCGAAGTCTTCTCTGAGTAATCAGCAAGTTCGTGAAGACCAGGTTCGAAAGTTGCATGCTGCGCAACGTTGGCACTCATGCAGCCAGGCTTGCCGGTAAAATCCTCAAGCCGAGGGAACACAAGCTCTTCCTCAACGTCGTGGTGATGCTTCACAAAAGAGCACCAGGCTTTGACGAAGAACAAGAAATCCTTAACATCTTCTGTCGCTCTCACGTGGGGCGCTTGTAAATAGATACAATTGATGCCTCTAATTATGCAATTATGTAAATGAGCCATCTCGTTTGCAGAGTGGATTGCGGCGTGGTTTTTCTATTCATATCAATAGGTCAATTGGCTTTGCGTTTCACGAGTGTGAATAATTACTGACTATATCTTGAGTGTTCCCCGGTGTCTCCAATAGCTCCCAGGGGCCATCTGCCCAAGAACTCTGGGTAGATGTCATCGAGTTGGGTTTTGAGAAGAAAAGTTAGAAATGATTATCGAGGCAAGATGCAGTCTCTTAAATGGATACGATTGCTTATCAGCAGCAAACAAAACTGGATCACCGAGGGTCAGACCACGATTGTACTAATTTCTGACTGGCAGTATGCGACTACGCGGCAAGTTGCATTCATTGGCTTTACAAGGATAATGATCACATGCATATTTATCATAGAGGATGCTGTCACACAAGCGTCACAAGAAGATATGAAATTATAACCATTGAACTTCGGTTAAATCACGATATGAAGAAATACCCCTAAAGCCCAGAGACACAAGCGTGCTCCAAGTGGATTCCAGATTTCCAGCTTTGGCCACCAGAGAAGCCCTACTAGAAATTCGCTTCGTATCCCGTTTCTTACTTGCTGCCCTCGATTTTGTCACGCTTTCTTTGCCGTAACCTCTGAGAATGTGATGCTCGTGGAGAGAAAGAAAATGATGCATAGGATAGGATATCCATGGTTACACATATAACTTCTCAGTGTGAAATGCAGAGCAACTCAAATACGATGCAAACTTCCATCCTCGGTTAAAGAAGACAGAACTTTATGCCATATAACATCGATAAGAAGATTCACACCGAACAGGATGCTCATCATTCTGCAGAGATGAATAGTAAAGAGGATTCCAGGTGGAACAATCCAAAACTGTACATGCTTTTATTAGAAAGAAACAAGTTGCTAAAAGTGTACATATACGGAGACATGCCAGAATCAGCCTGGTCACAAATCTTAGTATTATATTTCACACTGATACCAGCTCGACCCGTAAAAGAAAAGCACAGGGTTGGGAATCAAATTCAGTTCTAGTATTTCTGAAATGCTCAATAGGTAGCTGAAAGTGTGGGTTCCCATATCGTTTTCACCCACGTATTCATGAAGCTCACGGGTTATTGAAAGAAACTCATTTTCACACTACATGCGCTTCCTCGTGCGTCGCGTTACTCATCAACCAGCCGGCTGGAAGATTTGCAGAAGGAAACCGGAAACCAGAAACCGAATTCATCGTTTGTATTAGTTCCTACTCTTACAGCTTTTTGAACTTCATGACATGATAACATCTACTACTCAATTTCTCGATCGTCCGTATCAATAAATCCTATCCCGATTTCCTTTAACGTCTAGTGAAAATTCTACTAAGATCATAACTCCTCGCTTATTCTCCCAGTCCTTGAAGCAATCATCACTGTGTATCGTTCATTTAAAATCCCTATACACCAATTAGTCTACAAATTAATCTCCTTCCATCTCATCCCATTCTATACTTCGATCTAAACTATCCGTTACTCAACACAGTGCTTGCAATCCTTCCATGTTGTACAGTCGAACAGTTATCCGTGGAAATTCTAGCGATGATACATTCCACCTCTTCATCGGGTATTTAGATAGTCAGTATCTCGATATCGAGTCACATTACCACCCAGTTTATTCAAATAGAACGAGTATCATCTTCTTCATCCCCAAGATATCACATACGTATAAATGATTCTCATCATGGATGAATAGTTTCCATCCCATGCATTCACTCATTTGCTCACCACTTTTGAATATAAATCGTCGTTAAGATAGAGAGAGATCATGATAAAACTGAAATTGCACGCGAGGATAGCTCAAAACCCCGTCCCGCAGTATCCCATTCGTAATAAATATTAATCTTCCCCTTCCACAGCAAGTTACATACTGATTGCAATCCCACCTACAGATATCCACCCTCCACATCCTATTCGCGTCGCTCTCATCATGTTACAGTACTGAATCCTTCCCTTTCCACTTCTATCCCCTTAATTTCCTCGTTTCCCCATTTCCTCATTCCCGCTTCTTCCACATCCATTCCATTTTCTCTCCATCAACACACTTCCTGATCGCCGCGTACTAACTAACTTCTATTTCATATTCCTCGCAGAGATGTTTGATACTATCAAGAACTCGCAATAGAATTATCATCTATATATATACATACTCTCCTCTCTATCCACTAGCCTCATTAAAAGACTCCTAATACCTTCACATACACTACTACCACTTCCCATTTCGTCCTCTCTTCTTCTCGCCCCCCCACCACCAATCCTATCCACCAACCAAAATAAACACTCCCCCCTCAGAATCCAAATCAAATCCCAAAATCCAAATCCAAACCCCCTTTTTCCAATTCCCTTACTAAAACCCAGCAAACTATATAAAAAATAAATCCTCCATTCAAAAACCTCACCTCTCATCCCATCCCATCCCATCCCATCCCTCAATTCCCATACCCCATACCCCATACCCCACCCATAAAAAACTCACTCACTCACTCCATACAAACAAACAAACAAACAAACAAACAAACAAACAAACAAACATCCCACCATAACCCAATAACCCAATAGCCCACTATTCATAAAATCCATCACCTACCTACCTACCTACCTACCCACCTAGAACAAGACTTTCATCATCATCATCATCATCATCATCATCATCATCATCATCATCATCATCATCATCATCATAACCATCATCATAACCATCATCGAGAAGTCCACAAGAACGTATCTCAAAAGCCTACCTAGGTATTTTCCCGACTTTCTAATCAGACTAATCAGACTAATCAGACTAGCAAGACTAGCAAGACTAACGAGACTTCTCCAGTATCGCTTCGCTAGTCGCTAGTCGCTAGGCACCATCCAATTTATAAATACCTACTCGTACAACCAGTAGGTAATTACTAATAATTTCTCAAGCACGCGACCACAGTAGTACACTTCATTCATATGTATAAGCAAGATATATTCAAATCCATTTGTTCATTTGAATTTCATTTCATTCAACTCATATCAATCGTCTTCATCTTAATCTTTATATCTTCATTTTGTTCTTTTTCATTTCATTTCATTACTTTCAACTACACTCTCCTTCTCCCTTCTCCCTTCCTTCAAGAGAAGAGAGAATCACTTCCTTCCCTCCATCTCCTTTCCATCTCATCTTTATACATCACACCTTAAAGTCATTCCAAATCCAAAAGTGTGTGATGATTCCATCAATTCGATTCGATCCAATCCGAATCGTGTCTATAACGACAGATGTAAGCCCAAACCAAAATCAGGTTATGCTATGTTATGGTAAACCATTTAGGAAATCCATCTATAATCCCTTGTCCCACGCTCATTACATCCATCCGTGACATTAGAATTCCCTAATTCCCTATCATCTTATCACCACCACCCACAAAACAACTGAAGTAATAAAGAATAATCTCAGAATCTATATTCAGCGAGAGACTTTAAAGAGTAATTCTCATTAAAAAAAATGAAGAGAATATACATGTATAGCGAGCCCAGCACAAACTTTTCTCTATAAAAACACCTCCTAAGAGAAGAGGGAAAAGCGGCGGTAACTCTAGCGATAGTTGGACTGTTTATTCACACAAAGTGGGCGAATAAATAAATAAAAAAGTGCCCATGTCCATAATCAACCATGATAGGTGTATTATGAACGGTAAGAAATGAAGTTGAAATCGAAATGTTTAGCCAGAAATCGCTTGCCATGTCGAAATGACGCAGCAGGTCGGCATGGTTCAGTTGATTCCGGCAGTATTATCATTAGTATATACTGTAAGGAACTCGTGTATCCAAATCTTCGAATTGAATGGTCCCGAAAATAGTTAAAAGAGGTATATGTACAAATGTTCGAACTGTCCAGTATTCCAGGGAATGCCGGAAATGGGAAGTCGAATTATGATAGAAGTCGCTCGTGTCGAAACGCCGTAACATGATAATGCCGTAAAATCATGATGAGAAATTCCGTCAACTTGGAGAGTTGAGAGAAATTACTCTTGTCGAGTGCAATATTATTGCAGATGTGAAAAGATCACCTAACAACGACCTCACTGAGCTCACTATCGGAAGCCTGAGATGCCAGGGTATCGCCTTCCCATGCTGATCCGTTTTCATCAGTTGGGCTTCTTGATCCGGAAGAAAATGAAGAGGATGATCCCATGGTCCACTCGTCACTGCTATCATGACGGAAATCTTGATCGAGAACTGCAAGTCCATATTCGTAAATGCCGGTAGGCGCATCACCTCTCTCAACATAGTCGTAATCCCAACGGAACATCTTGTCTGCTTGAATTCTTGGCAAGAAGTTTGTCTTGGAGATATAGAAAGCAATGGCGGCAAGGAAACCTCCGGCTACGAGATCAACGGCATAATGGTGAGATAGATACATGGTTGCCCACCACATCCACATGGCGTATCCAATAACGAATGGTCTGAGTTTTGGGAAGCAATGGCTCATGAAAAGTGCTTCCAATACTGCATTACCAGAATGCAATGATGGGAAGGCTCCAAACACCAAAGGCGATGCGGTAAAGTTCGTTGTGTACATATCAAAACCGAAGAGTAAATCGATTCGTGCAAGACCTGCAGGTGATCCTTCCATGGAATAGTTGGCAGGCGCAAGACCATACAAATTCTCATACCATGGAGGCGAACAAGGGAAGATCAATTGAATGACAACGCCAATAATGTTCAAATAACCGAAAGTTCGTGCGAATACTGGTACGGTACCGGGAGGACCGAAAAGGAACATCAAGGCGGCCCAAACGAACGGTCCTCCAAAGTGTAGAATTCCATAGGGTAACCATGCTAGGACGTCAAGAGCGACATATTGGTGTGCTGAGAGAATGTTGCTAATATTTGCGCCATAAAAGATATTTTCGAGGGCAGGTAGAACTTTAACCCAGATATGTGGTCGATACTCGGCAGGAATAAATCTATGAAATCTGTTAGAAACAACGCGGTCTGGCATGTGTTTAGTGGTGGAAGAGGGAGTTTCAGAGTCGCTCAAAGACAGCGGCAAAACGAATCGCAATGCGAATTGAATAGTACACATACCGAGCATTGAAAAAGAAAATCAACCAGGTGAAGATTGGGAGAACTGGTAAGAAGAATTGTCTTGTTACTGGCATCAGAAGCGCAAGCATTAAAAGAGTAGCAGCTCCAGTCTTCATGAGAGGCCCAGGAGCCTGACTGATTGAAAGCGAGAATATTGCGATGATGATCAAGATCAAATATTGACCGTCATAAACCGACCATCTATGTGACCTTAGAGCTCGCAATGTATCCTTTGGATCGAAAGACGTCTCAATTGAAGCTATTGATGAAGCCGGAGGTAAATTTGAACGAAACTTGGACCTCAGCTTCCTTCTCATTCTACGAGGTATAGGATTTGGTATCGACGGCCACGAGAAAGGCATCTTGGATTTTGTAAATGTTGGTGAAGTTGTCGAAGAGTAATAATTTGTTTCCGGCATGGCAAATTATGAGGGAGGTACAGGTATCAAAGGAATGATCACGTAGAAGTCGACGATGTTTAAACCGTTGAACTTTTTTTTTTCCCTGTTCACACGGTGAGGGTGAGAGTGAGAGTGAGAGTGAGGCGTTTCTACGGGATCGGCGGATACGCGCAAAGGAAGATGGCGGAGTTTAAGAGGAAGGATGCTGATTTATAATTGACGAAATGTATGATTATCTCATGAATGATGGATAATGTTTGTTTGTTGATTTGGTTGTATGTGATTTATTGAGAGAGGAAGAGAAGATGCTATTGTCTAATTTTATCGAATCATAAAATTAAAATTGTAGTTGTAGTTGTGGTGAAACCCAAAAGTATAAAAAGACTTGGGAAGGTAAGGTCAGGTAGGACAGGTCAGAGGATTAGAGGGGGAGGTGGAGGGAGGTGTGTGATGTATAAGAGAAGTCTGGTTGTGATTGATGAGGGAAGAGGCGGATGTATGATGGAAGTGATGGAAGCAACAAAAAATAAGAAAATCGGGGTTAGGAGGATATGGCGCGGTACTAGTAAAGTAGTCCGAACGTACCAAGTAATGAGAAGAAGGTCTTTTTTGGATCTTTTGGGTCTTTTGGGTCTTTTAGGTCTTTTGGGTCTTTTCGGTCTTGTTAGTCTTGTTAGTCTTCTTCTTATTATTTTAGTCCCTGGTCCTTTTTTAGTTTCCTTTTCTTCCCTTTCCCTCCTCCTCTCCCTCTCCCTTCCCTTCCCTTCCCTTCCCTTCCCTTTTACTTGAATGGGGCCGGGATCTCGTTTGGCTTTCGAGCGCCAGGTCTTTTTTTAATTATGACTGGGTTCATAACTTATGTCAGCTAAGCTCCCCAAGAGAAGAAAGAAAAAAGACTGGATCTTGGCAAGGTAATGAATGTCTGAATGATCTTGGCAAATAGATTCATGGCCCCAAAAGACATGATCAGATACACACAAACGGGGTACGGAAGTGTAACCAAGGTTCTACTGGTATTTTCCAGTTGATTTGACTATTTATTTATTTATTGTTATTTACTGTTATTTATTGTTATTTATTGTTATTTATTGTTATTTATTGTTATTTATTGTTATTTATTGTTATTTATTGATTGATTTGAATCTCGGTGGTTTACGTGTGATTGTGTAATGAATGTGCGTGTTTGTTGAATCTTTCTTATGAATTGGTCATCATGTGAGAAGTTCTAGTTCCAAAAGATCAAGAACGAAAACGGTCGGAAGAAAGGTAAAACAATATCAAGAGGTGAGGTGAGGTGAGGGCTGTTTGAAGTGAGTCTTGCATAGGTAGTCCAGACTTGAAAGTACTGGTCAAGAAATCAGGTCTCATCTAGCTACGCGCTTCAACAAACCTCGACAGGCGGGTGAGATTGGAAAGCAGGCGCAGGTCTCCCTGGAGGTAAAGGATTATTGTTGAGACTTTGAGAACTCAGATCGCCCATCGGTACTTTGATTACATCGTATATCGTATATCGTACGTGCCTAACACATACATACATACCGGCCGGTATACATACATGATACATGATACATCCAACCTCCAAACCTCCAACCTCCAACCTCCAACCTCCAATCTATTACAGTCACCCAACGAACACCGATACGAGCTATCCGAATCCGACTGCGACCAATCATCACCGACACACGAGATTTTCCAAGGTTTGTTGCTGCGGAACTGGAAAACTTGGAAGGAACCTACAAATGCGGCGGGAGACGATGTAAAATTATGTCAGACAGGGTACTTCTGATGTGCATTTAGACGGATGGATTACCAAATGTTTAAGCTGCGAGATTACCCGTGAAGAGAGTTTCGAACAAAGAGAAAAAAAGGCTGCTTGCTCTCGACTAGGTGAGTACGAGTACGAAGGAACTTTAATAGCATCCGTTTGACATAAAGAACACTCATATAGATTATACCTCTGAATTTCGAATTGCCGTTTAAGAACATCCAACTGTTTTACAAAGATTGTCAACTCTTCACAGCCATGCGCATCGCGATGTGTACCGACGTATACCAACGTATACCACCGTATAGCATATCAAATAAGATGTTTTTCCCAAAGTCCAATGCTTCAAAATGATGATAAGCTCCATCTTAGCCCATCTTAGCCCATCTTAGCCCATCTTAGCCCATCCTGATCCTCATCCCTACCGACGTGCTATCCCCATCCATCCCCATCCATCCTCTCAAGGCTATAATTGCCTGCATAATTTTATGCAGTGTAATCGCCAGACCACCCAGGTGCCTAGGTAGGTATGACATGATTGGACAAATCCCATGTCTCGTTCATCAAGTTTCGCACATCAAAATTTAAACCCCCTTGTCGTGAGAAACAAAGACCGCTTTTCCGAGCATGCCGTCGTCGTCTTTCATTGGCTGCATTGGACTTCATAGTCCTCTTATTAAGGCTTCCTCGAAAAGATTCATCACTTAAAGGAAATGAGGATAGTGAAGGATGAATGGTGATACCGCAGTAGTAGCAGTAGCAGTAGCAGTAGCAGTACATATCTGAATATTGATTCAAATTCAATATCGAAATTACGGCCGCGCAAATCTTTCAAGGGAGTAGAAGCCGTGGTATATCATTTTGCAAATGATTAGGTATCAATCAACCGACAGGATACATATGTGCGTACAGATTATGGTTTCGATGCCCCTGATTAGACGGAAACATCTAACCTTCACTCAACAATTCCTTTTGCAGTCTGTGAAACCCTTAAATTATATCAATAGCATGAATGCCGGGGATCTCCAGGTTTTGAACTCTCAGCTCCAACCGTTCGCATCAGGGTCGTCTTCAATTCATCTCATCGTATCTCCTTTCACGCCCTTGAGGGTGTCGTCGCGTTTTTTTACGAACGAAAGTTTCACATCCTCAAAGTGTCGCTTACAAGCTTTTCTAAGCCACTCACTACAAAACTTTTGATGTTATAGGATTTCCATGGCCATTTACGGAATCAGCCTCCTTCCACCTTAACTGCGGGGTTCTAAATGGGTATACTTTTCATGCTGTGCTGCTGCGCCAGTATTGTCCGTGTTTTCAGTTGATGACTGCCTGGGTCAATGTCCAGCACTTCCATGGATTCTCGCCCACCAAGCATTGCCCAGCCACCCACGGAAGCGCGTACCAAAATTCCCATGATGAGGATCATCTCAGCAAAAATCGTCATGTTTCACAATCTTTTAATTGCTCACGAGTCGTTATCGATATCAAAGCTCAATACGCCGTATCGCTCCCCAAGTCTGGCAAGGCAAGTCAAGATAATTTAGCTCAACAAGACATCTCGAGTCTTGACAAGAATAATACTGGTGTAATTGATTTGCCGATGCTGGCAACTTACAACTTACGACAGTGCCTCTTTCATCCATGGGCGCAGCGCAATCAACGAGCTACACCGTTCTTGGTATATAAATACGCCTTGCCGTGCTTGTCGTGCTTGTCGTCTAATAGCCTCAAAGTTACTGTACAATGACTGTAAGCTCCGGAAACTTCGGTAGATGTCGAATCCAATCAATTCCATCATTCATTCACACATCGCATCCTCACCAAAACGTTTACTTATGCGATGCCACCTCGAATTGCATAAATCCCACTCGGGACAGAGAATCCGCGATAAACCGAGCTAATTGCCTTATCGATCTATCAAATCTTCAATTCCTTATCTTGAATATACATGGTGATATCTCAAATACCGATAATGTACTAGGTAGTGTGTACATGTACAACCTCACGCGACCAATTCGCCTCTCGAATTAAAAGCTCCAAAGTCGAGTAACGTTCATCGCGGTTCTCCCGAGCAATGATCAACACATGTGACATATCATGACAACCAGAGCAAGACGACTAGGTAGCTATTTCTATCTTGTCAGACCGATACTCCGTAACTTCTGGTTCAAGAATCGCGCGATGGATTTCTCACCATTTATGGAGTACACTTTACCCAGGCATCTTTAGAAAATCACTCCACCGAGTTCCCACCGACTATCGAAAGAGTTTCTAAGCGCCTATCCACCTATCGGCACCAAATATCATCACGGATCTACCTCCGTCCAATCGTCACGAATCATGATTTAGCAGGAAGTATTCGTCCTTTCTTTCCTACGGTGTAAGGTGTAAGGCGTACGATGTACGGTGTACATAACCTTAAAGTTTACTGTATTTTAAAACTTCTTTCAAGCTTCTTCTTCTTCTTCCCCTTAGTTCCCTACCGAATCACAATTCTACTAGTCATCCATCAATCATTAAACACTATACAGACCACTCACTCACTATACACCACCAAGATTTGTCAGATCAAACTTCACCTCTCGCCATATTTCCCTTACCCCTCCTCAATCTCCATCCATAATCTCCTTATCCAAATTTCCATCCCAATCCAATCCAATCCACACCGCACCGATACAACCCCTCCCTAAAACCAAAAAATCTCTTCTCCCTACCCAGTAACTAAACATGTGCTTGTTTACCTGTCATGTCAGCCTGTCCCTCATTACCTTACCCAGTCCAGCGAACAATCTCATCTCAATCCCTACGCGATCAACGATAGTACTGTAGTCTGTACAGCAACACCTCCTTATCCTTGCGCCCTATAATTTCCCACGCGCATGGGAAATGGGGCGAGCGGGCTCGGACATCGGAAATAGGATGGGATACCTAGAGAGCGAACCCAATTTATTAGTTTTTTTTTTCTCTTGCGCTTTTTCTTTTCACGGCCGGCCGGCTGGTTGGAATTCTCCGCATGGCGATGGCGCTTTTGGGTTTGGAGTTTTGGGTTTGAGGAAAGGGAAAGGGTGGGGACGGGGGTTTCTTTCTTCAGTGAGGGATGGATGCTTTGTCATGGAATGGAAGGTAGATCATGTAATGTAATGTAATGTAATGTAATGTAATGTAATGTAATGTGATTCTTCTTTCTTCCTATGGAACCATCCGGACGGAGAATGGAAATGGAGATGGGAAAAGAAGGAAAATCGGGAATCGG